TTCTATTTCTAGGTCCTGGAGGAATCGCCATACTGTCTTCCACAATGGTTGAACTAATTGACACTCCCACCAACAGTGTAAAAGTGTTTCTATTTCTCCACATCCTCTCCAGCATCTGTTGTCTCCAGATTTTTTAATGATCACCATTCTAACTGGCGTGAGATGGTATCTCGCAATGTAGTTTTGATTTGCATTTCTCTAATGACCAGTGACGATGAGCATTTTTTCATATGTTTGTTGGCCTCATGTATGTCTTCTTTTGTAAAGTGTTTGTTCATATCCTTTGCCCACTTTTGAACGGAATTGTTTGTTTTTTTCTTGTAAATCTCTTTTAGCTCTTTGTAAATTCTGGATATCAGCCCTTTGTCAGATGGGTAAATTGCAAAAATTTTTTCCCCATTCTGTTGGTTGCCGATTCACTCTAATGACGTTTCTTTTGCTGTGCAGAAGCTGTGGAGTTTGATTAGGTCCCATTTGTCTATTTTGGCCTTTGTTGCCAATGCTTTTGGTGTTTTGGTCATGAAGTCCTTGCCTATGCCTATGTCCTGAATGGTTCTGCCTAGATTTTCTTCTAAGGTTTTTATGGTGTTAGGTCTTAAGTCTTTAATCCATCTGGAGTTAATTTTAGTGTAAGATGTCAGGAAGGGGTCCAGTTTCTGCTTTCTGCACACTGCTAGCCAGTTTTCCCAACACCATTTATTGAACAGGGAATCCTTTCCCCATTGCTTGTTTTTATCAGGTTTGTCAAAGATCGGATGGTTGTAGATATGTTGCATTGCCTAATCAAGCTATATTTTAAAGTCATTAATATCAAACAAGCTAACATCAAAATATTTCCATCACTCTACTAGAATTTATATTATACTGTGAAAGACACAATAATGTTTTTAGCTACTTAAAAAAAATAAACTCTACATCTCGGAAACTGAGCTTTGAGGTTTTAGAGTAAAAAGTTCTAAAATAACTTTCATTACTAAATATAATTAAATTTAATTCATTAGAAATTTGTGCAGATATTGGAAAAAATCAATTAGATGTCTTTTGGCTTAATAATTCTTGTTTTAAGCAGAGGTTACATCTTTTTATATAGTACTACAATGTCTCAGAAAAATATTTGAAAATGCTTGTTAAATGAATTGAAACATGTAAGTTCATTCATCTTTTTCTCTCTTCTAGAAACTAAGAACTGTGTGTATTACCAAGGAGAATATGTCACAATAACATACTTTTTAAACTGAAAACTTAATTATCAGAAATGAAAACAAAAAGATGTGTATAAAGGCATCAGAAAGGGGATTAGTATGAAAACGAAATTTTGAGACACTAGTTTGTTACTCAAATTGACATTTAATCAGCAAACAGATGCATTTAAATTTCACTTCCAAGCCTACTTAGCAAATCTACTTCCAGTCAGAGTATCTTTAATGTGCAGAAGCTCAGTGAAAGCAACTATTCACCATGCAAGACACAGATAGAATTCCCTTAACCTACTGCCCTCTAGACACATCATTCTCTGTTAAACAGGCAGCTACTGCCAGATGCTCTCGCTAAAAATGGTCACAGATGGTCAGTTGTCCAGTTAACAGAACATACTCCCCTCCCAATAATCAAAAGTAAGAAGGAAAAGATAGCTGCTAAGACTTGCCTGCTTAGTGAGTTAAACATATTTGACTGCTATAAGTTTGGCAAGGCTTCAACACTGACTTTCTAGGAAAGGAAGACTAGACCATAGGGGTCTCAAGATTCAAAGGCACCTAAAGGTGATCCAGTCAACAGCTGCACAATGCTTGAATCCCCACAATTGCATCTCTGCTCGTCAGCCATTCCAGCCGTGACTCGGCAGCTGCAGAGGTGCAGAACCTGGTGTCTAACAAGAAAGTCTCTACAGCTGCAAGAGGTCTCTGTTATCCTGAACTGCAACCAGTCCAAACACTGAATCTAATTCCACAGTCAGGAAACACGCACCTATTTTAATAGACATAGTATAACCACAAAATAATTTCCCAGTTTATGCATTAGAAGTAATTTTAAATGGAGTTACCTCAAATAGCATACACAGTGGATGTTACAACATAAAAACAAGGGCAGTAATATTTGATTTATTTTTAAAACATAAGAAAAAATAAAGGTTTATGGTTTCAAAAGTTGATTATAGCCCAGGTGCAGTGGCTCATGCCTGTAATCCCAACACTTTGGGAGGCAGAGGTGGGAGAATCACAAGCTCAGTAGACTGAGACCATTCTGGCTAACATGGTGAAATCCCATCTCTACTGAAAGTACAAAAAATTAGCTGGACATGGTGGTGTGTCTCTGCAGTCCTAGCTACTTGGGAGGGTGAGGTGAGAGAATCACTTGAACCTGGAAGGCAAAGGTTGCAGTGAGCCGAGATCACACCACTGCACTCCGGCCTGGGCGACACAGTGAGACTCCATCTCGGAAAAAAAAAAAAAAAAAGTTGACTATAATTCAGAGATGATTTAAAAAGTTCAATAAAGATCAATGGGTCTTACACACACATGCGTGAGTGTGTATGTATGTATGTATATATGTATGTATCTGTAGAAAATTTTGAAGAACTGCTTTTATTTGCCAAAGTTTTAATAAAATGCCTCTCTAAACTTTTCACAACCCGAGTATTTTTGTTCTAATAAATTAGTCACCTATTTAGAACAAGCTCCCTGTAATGTATAAGAAGAGCATACTAAGAATGTATTTTTTTTTATCTTCTGTATATTCATATTTTCTTTAACGGTGAGTAAATTAGAAGTACTAAGCTTGATCTATGATTCTTCAGTAACAATTGTCCCAAATCATGTTTCTTACATAATAACTAAGCAAAATTTTCGTGAATTAGTAATATGCAGGGAAAAGGACTGAATACTAATAAGCCATGACTAGGAGTAAATGTTGCTGGCTCCAGTGGCAGTCGGTTGGGCTAATGTCATTTCAGTACGAATGGCTTAAGGAAGGTTAACCTGGAAGATGTGCAATTTCTTCTCATCATTTATAAAACTATGTGACAGGCCAGGCATGGTGGCTCATGCCTATAATCCCAACACTTTGTAAGGCAGAGACAGGCGGATCACCTGAGGTTAGGAGTTCAGGGCCAGCCTGACCAACATAGAGAAACTGCATATCTACTAAAAATACAAAATTAGTTGGACATAGTGGCACATGCCTGTAATTTCAGCTACTCAGGAGGCTGAGGCAGGAGAGCTGTTTGAACCCACGAGGTGGAGGTTGCAGCGAGCTGAGATTGTGCCACTGCACTCCAGCCTAGTCAACAAGAGCAAAACTCCATCTCAAAAAAAAAAAAAAAACACAAAAAAAACCTATGTGACAGAGATCAACAGTAAAACTTATTTAACCAAATGCAGATTAAATTAAAAACCAACATAACAAGATTATAAGCAAAATGCCATCTGGAAAACTATGTAGAGAACCGCAGGATGAAGTTCAGTGTCCCTGCATCTCAAAACAGACTCTCACCATTGCTTTTTACTGTTCAGAGGCTCAAATTTAATGCTGCTCTCACAGCCTGTGCTACTGTGAGACCAGGGAAGGACATGGAGAAGCCCACAGTTGGGCTGCTGTGCCTCTTACCTCCCTTTACCTTCACATGGCAGTCTGTGAAAGGAAAAGCCAGAGTGCTTTGTAAAATCCTAATATGTGCAGACGGTATAACAACTCAGTAGGTATTTAGCAGGCTGGTCATCATAATTAAAGGAACCACTTTGTACTTACATGAAAAAAAATCTACTCATGAGCAACAAATAGCTAAGTGTACACTTTATATACCTTGATGAATTTATATCAGTTTCTAACTATGTATTCTTCTTCTTCTTTTTTTTTTTTTTTTAATTTAAGACAGGGTCCTGCTCTGTTGCCCAGGCTGGAATGTAGTGGTGCTATTCTGGTTCAATGCAAAATGCCATCTGGAAAACTATGCAGAGAACCGCAGGATGAAGTTCAGTGTCCCTGCATCTCAAAATGCCTCTGCCTCCCGAATTCAAGCTATCTCCTGCCTCTGTCTCCCAAGTAGCTGGGATTACAGGCACCCGCCATCACACTCAGCTAATTTTTGTATTTTTTAAAAATAGCAACAGGGTTTCACCATGTTGGCCAGGCTGGTCATAAACTCCCAATCTCAAGAGATCCACCCACATTGGCCTCCCAAAGTGCTGGGATTATAGGCATGAGCTACCACGCTCAGCCCATGTATTCATTTTAGATATACATTACTTTCTACTAAACATGTTTACATCATGAAATTCACTCCACAAAGATAGATAGGAAGACTAGGGAATAAAACAGTGTCTTTCAAATCACTGATGAACTCAAACACAAAGTTAAGTGCTTTTTCTCCAGTGTTCCTGGGTTAGAGCTACATAAATATTCACAGTTACATGGGGACATGTAATATATAATATATAAGGACATAGTTATAAATTATAGTTATATAGTTAATATAATTATATTATTATAATTATATTTATATAGTTATATAATTATATAGTTATATAATTAATTATATAATATATAATTATATAATATATAATATATTAAGGACACTGTTTTATACCTAATTTATAACTATGTAGCAATTATACAGCACTCTCAGGCAAATTATAAGTTAAACTTAACCACTGAGTATTATTTGGTGATATCCCTCTTCTAATTCCTATTCTACATCCACCACACACTCACAATAATTGATCAGGATTGTAATCTACCAGAAGTGAACTCCACAAAGAAATGCAGATTTGCAGACCTGGACAAAGAGAGAAAGATAATGGCTACCTGATATTTTCCACTGGACTCACAATGTAAGTCAAAGACCAATCACTGGCTTCAGCAGTAGTATATACATACTGATATAGCAAAATCAATTATTTTCTTTGTACCATTAAGTCAGTTCTCCTGTCTTACATCCAATAACTTTTCTCCCAGTTGGTCAAAGAGGAAGGAAAAAGGGAAAACCACAGTATAAACTCACTCACCTAAACCACTGAGAGTATAGAGTAGGTCCCTGGTATCCAAGAAAATGGGCCCATTCTCCTGCTGCCCTTCTTCCTTGTAGTACAGTTTGTAGCCCAGAATGGCGGCCGTGTCCTCCACATCTTGCTGCCACGTCACAGAAATGGTGGTACAGTTCAGAGGCTCCAAATGCAACTCTGGAGACTTAGGGGCTAGTAAAATTCATCAGAAAATGTATGTATAAACAACCAATCATCCACATAAAGACACAGAATAGGGTAGTTCTCTCAGTTTTCAGCAAACGGTTACCAAAAGTTCAATCCAATAATTATACTTTAACCTAACTTTCCAAATTTCACAATAATATTAAACTTTGAGATCAAAATGTAAAATACATACTACCTTAAAAAGACCAAGATACATAAATAGTATCTGGATATTTAAGTCTTTTTTCAAAGAGGCAATCAGTATTTTCTAATTTTGGCCATCCAATACTCCTCTGTGATTTAGAGAACAGGTACTATTAATTAATTAGTCAGTCAATTAATTAACAAGCAAGACAGAAATGTTACAAGGGTCTAGATTCACAGTCCTACAGTCTTCCTATTGAACTAAGGATTTTAAAAATATATGGCGATGATGTTAATTAGGCCTCTACGAATATCTTACTTTGGAAATCAGTTTGATTTGGACTGATGTGTCCATGAGGGATGTGCTAAGCAAACTAACAGTGCAACTAAAAAGTTTGCACACAAAAAAACTCTATGCAAGAGTGACTACTTAATAAAAAGTTTAATTTTTTCAATTAAGTCTATCACCTATGGAATATTTTTATCTGTAAAACAAAATTTAAAAATATAAACATAACTTAGAGAAGAAAACTTGATTCAAGAGTAAAAATGCTGTATTATCCTTTCTCAACAGTCTTCAGAAATTCACCTTTCACACTTGTAGCTTTAGGCGTCTTATGTGAAGTCCATACTGATGACTCTCCCAACCCCACTCTGGTGGCAGCAGTAATCCGAACCAGGTAGACACTGTCAGGTTTCAGGCCTTCCAAAAGGTACTCATGCGTGGTCCCTGGGAGCTCCAGAACTTGGATGGCATTCTCAGTACTTAGGCGGAAAGACAAGCGATACAGCACCACTTGGCCCCGCCGATATTTGGCTGGGATTGGCAGCCAGGAGACGAGAATATCAGTGGGACTTCGACTTGTCAAACTAATTTCAGGAGGTCTCAGGGGAACTAGTCATAGAAGAAAACAGGTTGTTTATAAATATTTAGAACTGAATTGCCACTTAGCACACCAGTAACTGAATTCCTTTAATTAGCAACATGTAATAAAGAAAAGATAGTTGCAGCCCTAGCAGAGGTTTTCAGTTAAACAGAGTGCAAACCAGAAAACAGAAGAAAAAGACAATGAGGGAGGGCTAAGTGTGTGGAACAAAGAATGTAAGATATACTTCACTGCGGTTGTGATTGCTTTGTTGTCGTTTGGAATGAAAATGACAATATTTGATATTCATACAAAATATGAGACTACTTCTCAAATAATTCCACTAAAGGGGTTTTGAAACAAGGAAGAGTGAATTATACAATGGTGGGAAAGCCTAGGATTCTAGAGTTATATAACCAAGCAAATAATATTTTTGAAGTCTAAGAATTACGTCTTAAAAATTAACGTGAATTTTTTATTCTTAATTACAACGTATCATGTTTAATATGAAAACAGTTTTTCCTCCAAAAATTTTAATAAAACTGGCATTTCAGGAAAATAAGTCAAATACAGTGATAGGCGGTCTAATACTAAGAGTTAAGACTTGGATTCTAGAGTTAGCTTCTCTGTGTTTGAATCCTTGTTCTGCCACTTACAACGATGTGATCTTGGCTAAATTAACTTCTCTGTATCTAGGTTTCTTAAGACACAAAATAAGGATAATAATAATAGCTCCTTTTACAGTCTTTCCCTGCTATGCTGAGACTCACTTTCTTTAAGGATATAGAGGGAGAAGAGATCTCACATATCAAAACAAACAAACTAACAAACAAAAACCTCTTATCAGCCTGCTTTTCACCTTAGACATGCATAACAGAGGTTGTTAATTTTAATGAGTTAACTAGAGATGTCACATATACTGTAGCTCACTCTAAAGTGGAACAGGCTCTTAAATGAAAACTAAAATTTGGAATTCCATATCCAGATCAGTGAACATTTTTTCATTTTGTCTAACTTTGATTTTATAAATAACTAAGTAAGTGGCATTATAAAGATAAAATAGGAGATCTGGGACCAAATGAACAAAAAAAGAGATTTAGGGATTATTTATATAAAAACGTTTTAAAAACTAAGAGCAAATCATTGCTTGAGGTTGATAAAACATTTGCTAAGGGAAAACAGTATGATTAAGCATATATTAAATAATTCCCTTTCACATTGAAGGGTACTAGAAAAGGTCTTCTAGAGACTCTGGGAAGAGAAATCCCTTCTTTTACAGTATGATATGAAGAGTCAGAGAAGGAGAATCAGTTCTCTAGGGCTACCCTAATGGATGAATCTTCCCACCATTATAATAATAATATGAACATCTGGCCTTCCCCAAAAGAACCACAATTCAATTTTCAACCCATGGTTAGGAAACAAACTAAACAAGTAATATATCCCCCCTTAAGGAGTATAGGCATACTGTATTTAATCAACAGTTACTAAGTGCTAAGAATTTTTTGACAGGTGATAAATTACATAAACTCCAGGTTTCAGAAGTCCAATACCTCTGACCCTCGGTCACTACATACACTCAATATGTAGTGGTCATTACAGTTATTCATGTCTAGAAAAATTCACATTTTGTTCTTTCCAACAAATTTACAATTTAAACTAGGAATCTCTGAAGAAATACAATGAGAATATAAGAATTTTATTATTAAATTGTGTATTATGAAAGTGCTCTTTATCCTCATGTTATTGGTAAAAAGCAAGAGGATTTTAAACAGCAAATTTAACATACCTGTTTAACCAAAAAGAGGTTATTTTCTTTAAAACACATTTATTCATTGAAATTGACAAAACCTATGAATGTTCATACTAAAATGATCTAGAATCATGTTTTCTTACCATCCTCTAGAGTATTCTGTGTCACATGGTCAGACATCTGGCTGGCTCCCAATGGCATATATGCCACAATGTAGAAAGTATAATTGCTGGCAGGCTCTAAGTCATCAATAATATAATGAGTTGTGTCGTTTCCAAGGACAACTTGATACTCTTCATTATTTAAACCTAAATTTAAAAACCCATGTTTTAAAATGACAAATATTCAAAATAAAATTAACAAGACCATTTTCCTGAACTGCAAAACACTGGTCATTGGGTCTAATCTCAATCCGTTATCTTCTGTGCCCTTTCACAAAATGTGGAAAGGAAGATCTTTATTTTCTAAAAGTAACCATATTTTGCTACAAATTACTAGAGGACATTTTTCCTGAATAAATCAAACTGAAAAAAATTCTTCTTCTTTAAAAACTTCATTTACCATCTAGTCAAAACTCAAAGCAGACAATGTACAGTAGTAACATAACAGAGCTTAATACAGCAGAATACTGTAATTCATAACAGTGCATAAACTTTACTTGCTCATGGGTTTTTTTTTTCTTTTAAACATAAATGGAGAGACAGTAGGGAATGCAATGGCTCCACGCTTTATAAAAACAAAACAAACCAAAAGTTGTCCTGCCAAAGATCTCATTTTGCCGCTAGAGATTCTATTAAATTTGACTGACATAAGTTGTTCTTTTATTTATATTGAAGGCAAAAAAACCCCCCAAAAACTGGGAGTCACAGAATGAGCCTCCAAATGCTTTGTCCCACAGTGAGTTCTTTTTTTAAGAGAAAAAAAAATCTCAGCAATTCTTAATCAAATATGCATGGCAAGGTATAGAAGAGGATTTGTCTTTGTAGGATTTAATTCCTACAGAGCAAACCTGTAAAGTGGAACAAGAGCATTGGCAGCCACTGTGCTTTGCTAACAATTCACAGTAAACGCATGTCAACTTAATCAAATCTCTCTAAAGACGGAGTCCCTTCTCCCCACACTGGATTTATAAACAAAACAGAAGGCAAATTCCAGTGTTAAGTTTTCCCACATTTCTGAATTAACTTGATAGCATTTTAATTAGACAAGATTACAGGCATTTCACAACAGACTGGCTAATGGCTTGTTAATTAGGAGCTGCATAGTACGATTTCTGACCTACCAAACAAGGTCCTTGAGTTTGAATTAAAAAGCCTTGTTCATTCCTGAATAGACCACTGAGCCGCATGTGGAGGCTCTAATGAAACAACCATAATAGGGAACAAGAGTGGTCCCCATCAAAACCAGCATTCCTTTTACCTTCATAAATCACTAAAAAGGGAATTAACATACTCCAGCATGCTCAGTTATCAGACTTTCATTCTTCTTGCTTCCATGACCCCTGATTTACATTCAAAATATTCCTTTTCAAAACACTACTTCAAAGTACAAAAAACAAATAGCAGCAGCAACAACAAACCACCTGTTTCTATGGATAATTTTATTATATCCCCATCGTTAGGTGTTTGAATTTGTTTTTAACGTATATTCCATAAAAGCTAGGCTGTTTAAGCATAGAACTGAAATTTCTAAGCCTCTACCATGGTTTCTGTGAAAAATCACCAGAGAAATTTCTAGGATTTATAAATAGTTTCTCTTTTCCCTTTAAGATATTTGCTAAAAGTAAAATATAAGGAATTCTTCTAAATCCCAAAAATAGAACCAATAATTCTGAATAAAAATTTTAAGACACGTTTGATTTCTACTTTTACATAATGAGATAGTAGTAAACAATGTCCTGTGCAATTTTCAGAGGGTTCTATATGATTTCAGAAAACATCCAAAATACACAAAATCAAAAATATGGGGAATTTGACAATGTTTACTTTCTCCCTTAAAAATAATATGCTGTAGTGTACATAGTTTATTAACAGTCACACCACTATTCTAAAGTAACTGCATACTTAAACTAGTATATTAAGTCTCAGTTAAGGAATTTATACCTTGTCTGGAATAAAATTCATAAGTACACTACTTTGTAATTTCTAAGCAGGCAGTGATGCTTTGTACTAGCTAGTAATTGTTTCTAAACAGAAAAATCTTAAACTATACTTACATATACAAAGTACACAACATGAAATTTAGAAAACAATAGATACATAGGTGATTATTTTATTAAAGAAAACTGCCATAGATGAATTATGTAAGGCATTATTCATACTGAAAACAAATCCTTGATAACAAGGAGTACTTAAAAATGAGCATTCCTCAAATTGCTTACCTTCTGCTTTCATGTAGTGTACAGAATAGGCGATGACTTTGTCTGAATTATAAAGTGGCCTCTCCCAAGCTAAAAGGATGGCTGAGCTTGACATGGTTTCAGCATGTACATTACAGGGAGCACTAGGTCTGTCTTCTGACATCACTACAGTCAGTCTGGCTCTAGATAAAATAGATCCTTGGCTATTCTCAGCCATGCACTGATAAATACCATCATCTTCAGGAATAATCTGGTTAATTACCAATTTGCTGAGGAAAGAAAAAAAATTATTTCCATGAAAAATTCTAAGAATGAATGAAAAATAAAGTTTGGCTATTGCTAAATATACTCTCATTTTATTTTAAAATTAAAGTTAAAATCAAGCATTTCTAGAACCCTGTAGCAACTCTGTGGAATCCTGAGGATTTTTTGGTGGGTTTTTGTTTTTGTCATTTTGGTTGTTGATGTTGTTTTAAAGAGAGAGGGTCTCACTCTGTAACCAGGCTGAAGTGCAGTGTCACAATCACAGCTCACTGCAGCCTCAAACTCCTAAGCTCGAAAAATCCTCTCTGCCTCTTGCCTCATCCTCCTGAGTAGCTGGGACTCTAGGCGTGTGTAATTTTTTAATTTTTTGTAATCTTCTGTAGAGACAGGGTCTCACTATGTTGCCCAGGTTGGTCTCAAACTCCTGTGCTCCCACCTTGGCCTCCCAAAGCACTGGGATTACAGGCAAGAGGCACTATGCCTGCCTTATAGTCTCATTTTAGATAATAAAAATTACTGAGGAAAAAAAAAACTATGTAATCAGTTCTAGTGAAAGACAGTCTACATTAATTACTTAAAATCACATTTATTTTTTGAGGCTGCAATAGAATTTGTGATATTCAAATGTCTTTTGCTTTAGATAACAACTTTTTTTAAAATTTGGCTCTTACTAAAAATTTGTATTACTTGAACAGCAACTAATTTATAGACTATTATAATGTGTACATAAAATTCAGGTCAACAGAAATTTTTAAGTTTTGTTCAACATAAATGAGAATGTTACAATAATTTGTATTTAAGCTAATAAAAATGAATTCTCAAAATCATTAACTGTGGAGAAATCATTAGGGAATTATTTCTTCTAATTTCTTTATTTTATGAAGAAGGAACTAAGACTCCAAAGAGCTAATATTGCTTTCTTGTGATAACTAGTGGCTTAGCAGGACTAGAACCCTGGAGTTTGGGGAGTGGTCTAACATTCATTTTATTACCATCTACCACTTTCATGACCCATGTATATAAAATATCCATGAGTATCTGCATAGTGCATGTATGACATGCTAATATTATAAACCTTAACTTATTTTAGTTTAGTTTCATTTTGTTAATAACTATCAAGATAAATTAGGTATTTGGTATTAATATAATGATTTCACATAAAAATTACTAAAGCCATTATATCATATATAAAATGGTAGCAAAGTGACACAGCCTACCTGTTGTACATTTTAATTCTACCATTTGAATGTATCTTCCTTCCATTTTTCAGCCATGACATCTTGGGAGAGGGGATTCCTTCTGCCTGACACACAAATCGAGCAGTGCCAGCTCGAGGTCTTGTTAAACTTTCTGGCCATTCGACAAATGAAGGAGGAGCTATTTTTAAAGAAAAAAGAAAATATTTCTGTCATCCTAACAGGGATGATATAAACAGTTAAGGAAGAATAGAGCAAATGAAACAAGTCCCATTACTGAAGTTGTCTGACATGCTGAGATCCTATCTACATCTCCATACAACCCTCCAGGTGCCTTTTCTCCTCATTGTTCAGTGTTCACTTCCTCCATGATTTCCCTATTCAGACCATCTATATAGACACACTTAAAATATACGTACCTATCATCCTTCTTAACTAAGCTCAACATACAGCCACTTGCAAACGTAGTTAGACAATCAACAGATTAAATTTTTAAACTGGCAAATAGGCATATGGATATGTGGGTAAGTGTGAAGTAGCTAGAAGGGAAGCTTAAATAAGAAGGAACATAATGGTATGCACGCAAACAGGATGGTGACCTCAGAATGACTCTACAGTTATATTTTAATATAAGTATTTATTTTTTTCCTGAAATTCATCATTGGATTACAACACTTCATATCAATCTTCACAACGCTACAAAGCTCAAGAAAGGCAGAAGTAATCTATGAATGAGATAAAACAGCAAATGTTAAAATGTAAGATTTCCCTGATTGCAGAATGAGAGGAACATACCTAATACAGTTAAAGTTGCCATAGCAACTGTAAAGTTGCGTGTTCCAGGGGTAGTGGCCCGACAAACATAAACTCCAGCATGTTGTAGCTTGATATCAGATATCATAAGATTACTATTTCCAAGTACCCGAGTATTAAAGACATCAATGGATTTGTGATCTATTTCAAAGAGAATACCTCAGTTAAAACAATGTAACATATAATCTGAAATTATCAAAGGACCACTATCCAAGCAATCAATCATGAAAAGTATAAAATTCTCCATATTAAGACCTTTTGTCTACACACTGAAATGCCAAAAAAGTTAAGACATTCAATAGCCAAACCTGTGTTTTTATATATAAAATAAATACTTTATAAATTTCATTTAAAAAAAAAATTTAAGGAAAAGGCTTTTTTTTTTTTCCTTGAGAAGACTTACCAAGACGGCTCCAAGAAATGATTGGTTTGGGATTTCCTGTGGCCATGCATTCCAAAACTACAGTCTGATGAAGAGACGTTGTTATGTTTTGTGGACCTGCTATAATGGTTGGTGTGTGGAAGGATTTAGACTCCTTAGCTTTGGGGAGAAAAAGAGAATATAAAAGTAATTATAAATAAAATATAATAAGTGAAATTAGTAAGAATTTATTCTTGTCATTCATTTTTATTTTTCTTTTTTTTTTTTTGAGATGGAGTTTTGCTCTTGTTGCCCAGGCTGGAGTGCAGTGGCGAGATCTTGGCTCACTATAACCTCCGCCTCCCAGGTTCAAGCGATTCTCCTGCCTCAGCCTCTGGAGTAGCTGGGATTACAGGCATGCACCACCATGCCCGGCTAATTTTGTATTTTTAGTAGAAACAGGGTTTTGCCATGTTGGACAGGCTGGTTTCAAACTCCTGACCTCAAGTGATCCACCAGCTTTGGCCTCCCAAAGTGCTGGGATTACAGGCCTGAGCCACCACACCTGCCTACTTTTCTTTTTTCTAAAACAACTTTATTGAGATGTAACTCACATACCATATAATTCACCTATTTGAAGTATACAATTCAGTGGTTTTTAGAGTTTTCAGAGTTGTACAATTATTACCACAATTAATTTCAGAACATTTTTATCACTCCCCAAAACAATCCCATATCCATGTCACTCCCAATCTCTTCCTCTCTCCACAGCCTAGTAACCACCAATCTACTTTCAGTCTCTCTGAATTTGCCTATTCTAAATATTTCATATAAACAGAGCCACATATTATGTGGTCTTTTGTGACTGGCTTCTTTTCACTTAGCATAATGTTTTCAAGGTTCACCCCTGTTGTTACATGTATAAATACTTCATTCCTTTTTATTGAGCAATATATATCATTGTATAGATTAACTTATATTATTTATCCATCCATCAGTTGATGAACATTTAGGTTGTTTCCTTATCATTACCTTTCACTGAGGTTAAAGCACTCATTTATTTATGTAATTATCTAAAATTTATTTAATTTACCTAAAATTAAAGCACAGCATTAAATACATAACTTCGGCCTCTTCATGTTTTTCAAAATTTCTTTTTATTTTTCAGCCTTAAAGGATCTGTTAGAAAGCAGTATCTCATGTGAAGAATAAACATTTATGTTAAGTTCAACAATGTCTTCAGTACAGGTTTTCTTTCACTACGTTTACATAACCTTAACCTTTAAAATAAAAACTAGCATCTATTTCATTTTAATGAAATACCTATTTCTTTATATTCATCTCTTTAGTTTCTTTTCTGCCTATATTAATGTATGGCAAAATATATAAAATTGTGTTCACTTAATATTTATTTACAAGGATAATTTTTGAATTGAGACTGGGATATTTTTTAACTTTTATTTTTGTGTTTTAAAAAATTGTTTTATGTAAAAGTTTTATATTTTTTATTCTATAAACATTACTTTTTATAAAAGGCATGTATCATTTTTACAAATACAAATTATGGTATTTCTTTAAACAACAAGCAAAAGAATGTAAGACTGGAAACAAATATATTTTTTTCCACATTTGACAATTCTGGTAGAAATGGATGATTGTTATTCTCTTTTTTGTGCTTTCTATATTTTACCCTTTTAAAAATAAAAGTGAAATATAGCCAGCCCTCAGTATCTGTGGGCTGCACATCTGTAAATTCAACCAACTGCAGGTTAAAAATATTTACAAATAATAAAAAATAAAAATAATAGAAAATTTTAAAATACAATGATTTATATAGAATTTACATCATTTGGTATTGTAAGTAATGTACAGATGATTTAAAGTATACAGGAGGGTGTGCACAGGTGAATTAAAATACCATGCCATTTTCAATAAGGGACCTGAGCATCGGTTAATTGTGGTGTTGACGTGAATATCAAAGATTGAATATATATTTTTGAGACGGAGTTTCACTCCTGTTGCCCAGGCTGGATTGCAATGGTGTGATCTCGGCTCACTGCAACCTCTGCCTCTCAGGTTCAAGCAATTCCCCTGCCTCTGCCTCCCGAGTAGTTGGGATTATAGGCATGCGCCACCACGCCTGGCCAATTTTGTATTTTTAGTAGAGATGGGGTTTTTCCACGTTTGTCAGGCTGGTCTCAAACGCCTGACCACAGGTAATCTGCCCACCTCAGCCTCCCAAAGCACTGGGATTACAGGCATGAGCCACCATGCCCAGCCAAGATTGAATATTTGTTAATCTTTCTTAAGATTGAATATTTCTTAAAGACGTTGATATGACATAGAAAATTAGCCTATAAAAGAGGAGTTGCTTAGTAAGTGAAAATGACCATTTTCCAAATAGATAATAATTTAAATGAAATTCTACGTTACGGTACACTATTACAGCAGAGGAGAAAAAGTAATAACTGCACCAATACAATGTCATAAAAATGGAAAAAGCCACTCTGCATGGTACCTGGAATCACAGTTAGCGAGGCCTCCATACTTTTACGTTGGTGAGCTACAGTGGCAGCAACACAGCGATAATTTCCAGAATCCATCTGGTCGACATCATAGATTTGCAATACTCCTGTTGGTAGGGTAGTTATCCTATTATAAGAGAAAGATAACTAAACTTTTTGTAGAAGATTTTATATTTTACTATATTTATTTATTTATTTATTTATTTTTTAAGATAGAGTTTTGCTCTTGTTGCCTAGGCTGGAGTGCAATGGCATGATCTTTCTTTGTTCACTGCAACCTCTATCTCCTGGGTTCAAGCGATTCTCTTACCTCAGCCTACCAAGTAGCTGGGATTACAGGCATGTGCCACCATGTTTGGCTAATTTTTGCATTTTTAGGAGGCAGAGTTTCACCATGTTGGCCAGGCTGGTCTCGAACTCCTAACCTCAGGTGATCTGCCCGTCTTGGCCTCCCAAAGTGCTAGAATTACAGGTGTGAGCCACCATACCTGGCCTAGATTTTATATTTTATTTATCATATTCAATGAGAGGAATTAATACACTCAATCTTTTTACAGTGCTGTAAGCAATACTTTAAAGACCTTTAAAAATACTAGCTTGATTCTACTGTTCTCATTTGGGTCACTAAAGCTCTCTATAACATAAACAATCCAGCATGATTTGGTTTGTGCAATCTATCAGTCGAATTTTACAGAGTCACATTTGACATTCCAGCTTTGATTTAGCTAGTTGGTGGCCCAGTGTTTGGTACAATTTTTTTTTAATTCCTGATTTTTTACCTACTAATATCCATATATTGTCTAAGACATATGTAGGTTTTTTTTTTTTTAATAAAGGACTTCCATGAATAACTTATTTTATCTTAGTACTTTACCATGTTAGCAAATGATGTCTGCCTACTCAGGAGCAGGGCAGGAATCAAACATTTTGGAGTTGCTATCAAGTTCTTGATCCCTAAATCCCAATCACCTCAGAACACTTGATGTGTGCATGTGCACATGTGTATGTGCATTCATTTGCAGTAAAGAGGGGGGTTGGGAAGTGGAAGGCAGAGACAGGAGTGGGCAGCTACACCACCACTGCCCTTCCTAGGAATGAGAACCTAATTTGGTTTCCTAAAACTTTGGGCTGCAGTCCAGATACTCATGGTTAGAACAGATGGTTGAGGAAAGGCTCAAGGCAGTAGGAGAATCTATTTAAATGCCGATGTGAATCAAGAACCATGCCCCATATGCCAGAGACTGATGATCTAATTCTTTGGCTAAGTTTGAAATGTCTTAAGCAATCAGTTATTACTGTCCTAAATAAAAATGAGGCCCATAATGGTCTTTCTCCCTATATAATCTCACATGAAGTCTTGATTACTCCCATATCATCTTCAAAGACAAAATCTACATCTACCTGTCCACAGTCATAGGTAGAGTTGTCCGATTGAACTCCCATGTTATGACTGCAGGAGGGTTGGATGAAATCTTGCATGCAAATCGAGCAACTCCACCTTCATGGACCTCAGTAGAAACTGGCTGAACTTCAAATGCAGAAATCGCTATAAGATAAAGTTTGAGAAATTCAGAATAAGTTCATGAAAATAACAGAAGTAACATTATGCTAGATACTACTTATTAGAGTTGAACCCTTACTGAGATATAAGAACAACCTAACATACCAAGCATGAATTTAGTGAATGATTTTGGAAAAACCACTAGGCAGTTGCCCAATTTAAGGAGTCTGGTCTTTCCCAAAATTAAATTCTAAATAGGTTCACAAGAAACTTATCATCTATTTGGAGACAAAAAATGAACATATGAAACAAACATAAACAATGGTATGTAATTACATACTAAACTGTGCGGTACAAATGTCAAATACTATCGTATTTCAGAGGAGAAAGAAATAAAGACAAACTAGTCAGGTAAAAACCATTTACAGGAATTAGTTTTGAATTCGCTTTTGAAGAATCCATTGGATTTAGATGGGGGTGGTGGTGGGAGGGAGCAGAACATTAAAAGTGAAAAGAATAACATGAAGACAAGCACAGAGGTAAGAAATGTGAAGCTTGCATTCATAGGATTGTGAAGAAACAGCCAGGACTACTGCAAAATATTTCAGATTAAGAGTTTATGGGAAAGCTGAAGGAGAATACAGATAAAACAGATTTATATCATGGTACAAATTAAGGCACCAATGAAGATTTCTGAGTAAAGGCATGTCCTGATAATAACAATGTGTGGAAAAAAATTAATCAGGATGGACTGAAAAAAGGAGTCTCAAGCCAACAGTCCACCAGACTACTAAATAAGGATCACAGAACTGGGTGGTAGCAATGGGAATGGAGAGTCTAGAGATATCTTAAAGAAAACAAAGACTTGGTTCTTATGCCACAGACACATCACTCTGTGTTTGGAATCAGATGAAGTTGGTATTGATGGAGCAGGATGAGAAAGGAAAGAGAAGGCCAAGGATGCATCTGAAACAAAAGGCAGAGAAACTCAAAAGACTGTAGGCTCATGTATTTCCAAAGCAGAGATCGATCTTGAAGTGTTGGGATTTTCTAGAGTTAATTATTCTTTATAATTCTAGGTAGGCCTCCAGAAAGTGGTCTTTGGTATCCATGATTTCCTTTTTTGATGGAGAGTAAACTCCAGGTTTCCCTTCCCTCTACTAAGTCTTCCAAGAACAAAGAAAGGGTCACAACTACAGTCTTAACTCTTCCCCTCCCCAGACTCTAGTTCAAAGAAAAATTTGTTTGAACTTTATCAATAAAATGAGAAATTATGAAGAAGAATAGAGATAACAGGGCTAGATGAACTTATGTTTCATTAGACTAGAAAGGATAAAAGGTCACAGAAGGCTAACCAATTCTGCTTTGCACTTGAATTCATTTATCTGTAGATAGATCATAGGCCTTCACAGGTATAGGACAAGGACAATGAATAATGGTGAAATATTCTTAGGAGGAGTGACTTCCAAAAAGGGTGGAATGGAAGTAAAGAAATACCTTGTAAATGAAACAAAGATTTCGATTTCAAACTGCTATTGTCAGTGGATCCACAAAGTCAGATATATTTGCATAATAACCATCACCTGCCTTTTCACTCTCTTTTCTCTTGAATATATGGTGTTTTCCAGGAGTTATGTAATGTATGATATTGCAATAGACCAAATGTGGAAGCAGATACACATGAGAACCCAGCCATCTTCTATTAAGCTAACTAAAGAGATTTGCACAAATGTAAAGCAATTCTGCTCCTGTTTCTATTTTTTTCCTTTGGAAAATAGTTACATTAATATGTGATGAATAAATGTTTTCATTCTAAAATGAATTAATGAGTATGTTTCTCAGTTTTAATTTCTAATAGTGTTAGCAGACGTAAGCTACATAAATAAAAGTTATTTGAGTTTTAAGAGTATAAAGAGTAAGGCTTTTTAGTTAGAGAACTACTGTTCCAGAATATCAAACTCTAAAAATGGATACCGTGAATCTACGTTGCTGATCAATTCATTAGTCCCCGTAAAACTCTGACATCATATTCAACTACTTACAATAGTGTTTCACTAATATTGAGCTACTTTTAATTGCTTTTATAATCATTTGCTAGGGTATTTATCTGCAAACCTTTTAATTTTGGATCTAAACCTATGGACCATCCACTGCTGTTTACCTACTGAAGAATTAGGAAACAGACGGCTAGATTCACCTTCACAATATCACCTCCACATTCAGAGAGAACAACCTGATTTCTCAGTAACGATGTAAGCTGTCTTCTTATAATTAAACTATGTTGAATACATTTATTTTGGGGAGAATTAGGGCCTACATTGCCATAAATTTAATGCTTGCTTTATAAAATATTAAGCATTCTTGTCGATCCCATATTTATCTTTTCCATGTATGAGGGGTGACCATTAGCTCTAGTTGTCACTGATAATCCAGTCAATATTCAATTGACAGACTTCAAAATGGGAATTTAACTTTATTGTTTCTCAGCCTCTACCTCTCCAGACCGAAATATCTTATTTAGTTTAACTTTTCCTTATGAAGCAGAAGTTCCCCCAGGCCTGTCCACTTCAACAATTTCTTCTTGCATTATCCCACAATGAATCAAGCATTCAATTCAAGATGCTTTATCTCATTTATTCCTCCCTCATATCTGACTTCTCTTCATCCCTAACAGTCCTCTGTTCAATTCAGGCCCTTATCATATCCTGTCTGGAAGTCTTTCTGGAGCCTCTTAGCTGGTATCTTCCCTGCCAGCAGCAACACCCTCCAGAGTGATCATCAAAAACCATGAATCTGTGTTGCTGATGAATTAATTTGTCCTGCAAAACTCTAGCCTCATATTCAACCACTTGCAATGATGTTTCACTAACACTGAGCTACTTATAATTCACTAAATATACCATGATATTTCATATCTCTAAGGTTTATATGAACATTCCCTTCTGTTGCTAATATCATTGGTCCCTTTGTCCACCTGAGAAATCCTATCATTCTTTAAAGCCTAGTTGACTTATCCCATCCTTTGGGAAGTGGTTTCTGACCCTTTTCTCTGCTATCTCTGTACACTGCAGACCTTCACTGCTGTCTTTATCTCCCAGTATTATAATCACTATTTACAAATCTTCCTCCCCTTCTATGTTATAAGCTCACTGAGGTGCAGTAGGGGGTCATATTCTTTGCAGGATCCTGTAAGACAGTGAGTGGTACAGATTAGGCACTAAAAAATATACTTTTGGAATTGAACTAACATTATTTTGAATTTTCTCCAATTCTATTGGCTCTTTAAGCACAGTAACTAGAATTGTGGGAAGTTTCTTGGGTACAAATACCAAGATGTGGGTGAGAAGAAAATAGTGCTTTTTGTTATTATTATTTTTTGCTACAATTCCAAAAAAATGCGCAATAACTTACCGGCATTATTTTTAGAGACAAAAATCTGTCTCTCTGATATCAAAGGATTTTATGAAGATTAAACAAGCCAATATAGTGAGGGTCCTTTACTGAAAACTTGCAAGTGTGATTATTGAAAATAAAAGTGACACTTTGCTGCCTTATTTCATGCTAACCACACAGGCAACTGAGTGCTGCTTTTTACTCTGAATCTAACCAATCAAACAATATGCCTTGGCACCATTGCCTTTTCTTTAAGCAGTTCCCCTTTTTTCTCAGATGGATAAATTTAAGAAATCCCTAAGATTTTTTTATTATAACAATTGAGCTAATCTTGTACTTTAGGCCTAATGTGCTGCAACTCTAGAGTCACAAAATTCTGAGAAATGAAAGAAAATTGGCTTTATTCTTTAATTCATTTAAGGATATTTCTGGATCCCACTCTGGTTTTCAGCAAGGTTTGAAAGCAAGCATAAAGATACATATTTTTATTTATTTATTTTTTTTAATGAATGACCGGTTCTTATGTTGCCCAGGATGGCCTCAAACACGTAGCCTTGCCTCCTCAAGCACCAGGACAACTGGCCTGAGCCACTGCAGCTCCCTAAAGATACATATTTTTAAATCCTCACCTTTATATTTAAAATTTCTAACTTTTTCATATCTTTTGAAAATTCAATCCACTGGCAAAACAGTTTCATCGAGAAAAATACCAAGCCAGATACTGCTCAGGACTATCACTGGTTACCTCTGAGACTAACAAAAAAGAGGCAACAATTAATCTATAATGAAAGTAAACTTCCTCCTTTGTTTGTAATCCCTCCATCTGGACACCAATCCCAATCTCTTCTCTCACCTCTGGGATCTCTCTCTCTCCTGTGTATTCAAACTCTTCTCCTACTTTCTTCCCCTCCACAAATAAATCTATTCTACTCTCTCCCAACCTCAAAAAACAAAAGGAAGAAAACTCCAAACATTTCTTTACAACACTTTACATATCCATCTACCAGCTCTCCACTCTCCTACCCATAAGACCGAAACTTCTCTAAAGAGTATTATACTGGCTGTCCCCACTTCTTTCTGACTCCATGCCTCAAACATCTAATTTGCCTTCTTCCCTTTTATGTTATTGAAATAGGGTCTATGATACTACATGCTCCTTGTTCTCCTTTTCTTTCGCCAGCTGCTCCTTCCTGTCTCCCCTTTTTAAAGGCTCACTCTCCTTCCTCTTCTGCACTTCCTTCCATAGAGTATCTGTTCTTTTCTCTCTCCATAGTCTTTTTTGGTGATTATATCCTCTTACAGTTTTCAACCACAGCCAGCTGTAGCTGCTGATTCCCCTAAATACCGCTCCAGCTTAGATCACTCTCCTCAGACCTTCGTACTCAGGGCTCCAACTGTGCACTGGACATCTTCACCTGGAATTTATGAAAGGCACTCCAAACTCATTATGTCCAAAATGAAGTCATCTTCTTTCTTCCAAGCCTGTATCTCTGCTTCATCTTTGTCACACCACTGTCAAATTATTCACCTGAGCTAGAGACTATTTACTCTTTCTGAATTCTCAATCATCTGTTCCCACTGATTTTAACTCCTAAACATGTGTCAAATCCGTTCCCTTCTGTTCCAGTCCCAAAATCTCTCACCTGAGCCAC